TCTCTTGATTGGAGGCTGGGCATGTTAAAAAACGAGGATGTGTCAGTGGGAGCACGGATCCTTGCCTTTGACGTGTCGCACGAGAAGTCTTATGCTATCTACCGTAAAAACTGCACCCTTTTTGTTGTGGCTGTTTAGGAGCATATCTGTGCGGGCCTTTGCAACCCTGATGTGCAAATGAAGGAGCTACATCAAAACCTCGCCTGATCTAGGAATGGACCACTTTAACCTTTGTGTTTGATCTAGGAATGCACACAAAACACAAGTTTTTAGTACGGAAGAATGACCTTACCATGTTCTCAAAGTCACATATTCATCCTGCACTATCATGTATCATGCTAACCTTATACCGCATACCAGAAATTGACGCGAGGTGTTGGAAGTGAAGTGACAGCACATCACCAATCTTCACTTGGGTTTGGTGGGATGGGATCATGGGATGCGTTTTGGTTGGCGGCCGGCACAGGTGAAGTCTTGGTGGGTGGGATGCGTTTTGGGTCGACTTTAGTAACTGCCACTACTACTTGTAGTACGTCTAAAACATAGCAGGCGTGGTGCGTGGGATGTAGTGGCAGTGGCAGCAGCCAATGCCAGCACAGAGGCCACTATTCATTCCCTCCGCGCGCTAAGTCCAGCTCTCATTGACCAGGCTAGTCACAGAAACGACAGATACGTACGGTTGTACGTATAACCCAGGAATTAGTCCGACCGTGGCGTTCCGTCCGCTGCCCGCGGGCAAAGACAATGAACCCCATTGAGATGGCATGCGCGGCATGGGGACGGGAGAAATCAACCATAACGTGACGGTGAACCTGGCGCGCGTTACCACATCCCCGCAATTGGGGTTTCTAGTAGTCCGCGCCGGTCAGCCGACTGTCAGACATCGATCGACGTCCATGCGTGGGGACCGACGTTGACCAGCACAGGAACATCATCGTGGATGGGGTCACGTACGCGGGTGTGGGAGGCGGTAGTTCGAGTGCAGTGCAAACGCTGTTTGGCTGCTCGCTGGGACGAGACTACTACTAACCCTACTCTTTTCCTCAACCCGCCATGTGGAAGCCGTCTTTGCTCCCAGAAAAGTCGCCAATCCCGATATTTCGTGAAAGAACTTACTAGTAATACCGACGGCGCCGTTCATTGGCTACTACTACTATCAGATGAGCTTCAAGAGACAGACGTCACCCGTCGCGCCGCGCCGCGCGCTGACGTCATGGCCGCGCATGTCTTGGTCCCTCTTCCTACTCCTAGCCGTCGCACTCTTTGTCTTTTCAGACGTCGTTCTCCGATTCAGCTGCTCCCGCGCTTCCCCATGGAAGAGGAGTAAAACCGAGTTAGTGTAACAGGTTCGGAATTCACCACGCAGAGAGCGTGGGAATTTCCGAAAGGGAAAGACGGCGTTGCCTAGCTAGCTCCGGACACAACACTTGCTAGCATAGAGCAGTCCCCCCTATCCCCGTCATACCTTAGAGTCCAGCAGGGCATAGCATCGAGGTGCTATGCCAATATGCTATGCCAAAGACGTAGCGACACGGTTTTCCTATCCGAGTCGCCTTCTCTCTTCCTAGCATAAATATCTTCTCTCATATTCTTGTTGTATCATCGGATTTCCTATTCTAATCTTCATCCCTTACTTCTAATCCTATCTTCTTGAAAGTATCTTCCTATCTTCTCTCATCGACGAATCTGGAGCTAGGCTCTCAGCTTAGCTTTCTTCCGCTGCGTGACTTCTATTTCTTCTAGCTACGGCGCTCTCTCCTTAGTCGCCATGGCCGGCCAGGCCAGCCGCGCCGTGCGTCGCTGCGCGCCGTAGCTCTTGTTTCACTGGTATCCGAGCCTATCGATCCTCAGTTTCTACTTTCGTTCTGAGCTAGCTACTACTCCTTACCTCGACTTCTATTGGGGGATAGCAAGAACAACAAAGGGTCACAATACCAGTCAAGAGAAGAAGCAAAGCAAAGCAAAGCTCAGGGTGGATCTCAAGATCACCACGCAGTCCGAGCACAAGCAAGCGGCTACAAGGCCAGTTCACATGCAGAGTTATAATAGCAATGGCAGTACACTGATCACAACCTAGCAAGTGACCTCATGCATTTTGACAGTGGGTCCCTTACACCAAGTGGTATGGGAGTGCTCCAGCTTTGAACATGCTGAGAGCCTTTTGTTAGGATCAAGGACGGAGTCTAGGAAGATTGGGGGCCGAAATTACTAAAAATCGTTGGACTATAATTATGGACAGAAAAGTCGACTTCACAAGAATTGCCGTCGACAAAACGTGCACCGTTGGATATGTTGTAGCTCTAGACCGTGGCTACAATTCCCTATTTGAATCGTATCAATAGGTGAAGTAAAACTCGAGTTATGAATTTCGGCGCACTGGGGGGTATGCTAGAGTTGAAACTTAACTCAATCCAAATATTCTCCCAAGAACCACAAAGAGGAATTAAAGTAGCTAGAACCAGGTAGGAGGGGATGAAGAGGACAAGAGGGAAGGTCCCAAAGGAGTCCCCAACCAAGGAAACCCCATAAGCACATCAAATCCCCTCCCGATAGTAACCCCACTTTGACTTTTGTCACTTTCCCAACCCATGCCATCCACCTCACCTCAATTTGCCACACTTGCCAACCTGGTTTGGCTTCTCCCAACCAATTGGCAGAAAACTACAGTAGAGTGACGAAAATTCCCAACCCCCAAAAGTCTATACCCCATATAGAGTCACTCTACCAAATCCCATAGTCGCCGCATCACAATCACAACTTCGAACGACCATAACTTTCTCGTTCTTGCTCCGATCGCGACGATTCTTGGTTCGTCGGAAAGCTCTTGAACAGAGAAGCCATTTCAGGTATCTGCTCAAGCAAACAAACATTCACACACACTCACAAATTCCAAACAACACCAAACACAAATTCTTGCACACACTCACACTACGCATGAAACCACGAACATAAGGTGGGAGGCAGACAGATGTGAATGCAAATGATAGCATCACATAACAAACTCCCCCTCTGGCTGCCAACCATCATCCCACATGCCTCAGCTCATGCATGCACACTCATTCTAACAAGTTTCATGCCCTTCCAATGCTCAGGTTCAGCTAGGCGCTTGGTGAGAATAGCAGCCGCCTGCTGCCGGGTCTTCACTATCTCCAACCGCACCTCCTTGTCCAGGAGCCTCCTCACCCAGTGCCACTTGGGCCTGATGTGCTTCGTCAGCCCATGAAGCCAAGCATTCTTGGCCAGCTTCACAGCTGACTCGTTGTCACAGAATATGACAGTCGGCTCCTCAGCCACACTACTTCCTTGGCCCCATGATGAAGGGCCATGTACTCAGTCTCACATGAGGACAGGCCCACCTCATTCTGCTTCTTGCTGCGCCAGCTCACTGCACCACCTCCAAACAGGCACATACTTCTCTTGCAACCCATACTTCTCAGCCAGCCCCTCACCATAATTCATCTGGTGCAACCTCAACACTTCCTTGTCAAGGTCCCTCTCCACATGCATCCCCAGGTAGTACTTCACATCTCCCATCTTTGAATACTTGAACTGCATCTCCAGCATCTCCTCCACACGGTCAATCATCGCAGACGACTCAGAAAAGAGAAGGATGGTGTCCACATACACCAAGAGCATGATGAACCACTCCTTCTCTTGCATCAGGAACAAGCTGTGGTCACACTCACTCTTCTTGAATCCCCCAGCCAACAGAGTCTCCTCCAGTTTGTGATACCAAGCACGAGGAGCCTGCTTCAGACCATAGATGGCCTTCTTCAGCCTGCTCACCCTGCCGCTCCCATCATCCAATCCCTCAGGCTGCTGCATGTACAACTCCTCCAGAATTATCCCATTGAGGAAGGCAGTTCTGATGTCCATCTGCTTGATCCTCCATCCACGGTTTGCAGCTGTTGCCAACGTAACCCTCAGTGTTGTGCCCTTTCCTGCAGGAGCAAAGATCTCGTCGAAGTCCTTTCCCTTTGTCTGCTGGAACCCCTTTGCCACAAGCCTTGACTTATAGTGGGTCAGCTCCCCATCAGGTCCATAGCTGTGCGTGAAGACCAACGTGGAAGAGATGACCATTTTCCCAGGAGGCAGCTCACACAGCTCCCAAGTCTCATTCTCCAGGAGAGAGTCATACTCCTCCTTCACACTTTGCTTCCAATTTTCAGCATCGGTCCCAATCAACGCTTCAGCTAGCGTCTTGGGCTCAGGGACGGCTGCCAATAGCAGTGTGCTACCTCATCCTCATCACACTGCTCAGCCACACTCCCAGCCCGTACCACCTTTGGCGTGCCACGACTAGGATAGGTCAGCCTGGCAGGAGGGCGCACATCCCTCCTAGGACGCTCAGGCAGACGTGGGGCACGTGGTGCAGCATCTTGCTGCTGCTGCTGCGGCTGCTACTGCTGCTGCTGCTGCTGCTGCTGCTGCTGCTGCTGCTGCTGCTCCACCTCAGGTTCTCCCCCATCCTCAGTCACCCCTGAGATCTGTCAAAGAGAGAACCAGAAGAATGAATGACTCAACAATGGCATACACGGGTTGATATAGCAAACCCTAGCCAACCCTAGCCACAAATGTGCACCACCTAGGCTAGCCAACACAAACTATAACAATAGATATACCCCCATAACAACACCTAGTTTGACACACCCCCATAGTCTAGGTGACGGTAGTCCTGTGGAAAGCAACAGATATCTCAGGGTGGATCACGAAGTCACCAACACAGTCTGAGAGCAAGGGTCACAGAACCAGTCAGCAAGAACAAGCAACGGTCACAAGACCAGTTCACAAGAACGAAGCGACTCTTGGGGTGGATCTCAAGATCACCACATAGTCCGAGAACAAGCAAAGGGCCACAAGGCGACAAGTCTAGGTGAAGCGGTATGCCTCAACGCCGTTCAGGTACACCACCTGGTAAGAGGGGGGGGTGGGGGAAAAAATGTGGGAAAAGGAAGAAGCTTTGAGAAGAGTGAGGCACAGGGGCCCACACACGAGGCACAATGGCAAAGGTGGGCGGCATCTGGAAGATGTATGCTGCGACGCCGTTCAGGCATAGCATCTGAGTGGATGGAGAGGAAGAATAAAAAAGAACGAGTAAAGCATTGATTAGGGCGAGGCACAAGCCCCAGCGCCATCAGCGGCACTGAGGGAGACGGTGAGAGGTACATGGCAGGCAGCACACAGGTGAAGGAAACAGGAGGAGATAAATGGTGGCACAGAGCCCAGCTGGTGGCACACAGCCCAGCTGGTGGCACAGAGCCCAGCTGTTGAAAGCACACCCGCGCACTCCCTAATGCGAGCAGCACTCACAGCGACGTCAGTGATGTTGAGGGAGACAGTGAGGGCCACGTGGCAGGCAGCATCGGTGACAGTGAAGGGCAACAGAGGGGATAAAATGTGCGAAGCTGGTGGCAGAGATGGCAGCTAGTGGCAGGGATGGCACCTAGTGGCACACCGATGCACCTTGATGCACTCAACCATGCGAAGAGCACTCACAGCGCCGTCAGCAATGTTGAGGGAGACGGTGAGGGCCATGTGGCAGACGACATCAGTGACAGTGAAGGCACGGCGGAAGTAGTGTGCCACACGGGAGGCGCTGGTTGTGCTGTTGAGGGTGAGGTTGGTGGTGGCTCTGTTATTGCCCACTGCCAGGGGCGCGGGGCCTGGGTGGTGGGGAAAGGGGAGAGGAGGGGGGAATTAAATGAGGGTCGCGTGGAAGGCACCCGGGCAGAATCTGTGATAGTGAAGGCGGCGGCGGAAGTTGTGTGCCACGCGGGAGGCGCTGGTTGTGCTGTTGAGGGTGAGGTTGGTGGCGGCTCTGTTGTTGCCCGCTACCAGGGGCGCGGGGCCTGGGTGGTGGGGAAAGGGGAGAGGAGGGGGGAATTAAATGAGGGTCGCGTAGAAGGCAGCCAGGCAGAATCAGTGACAGTGAAGGCGGCGGCGGAAGTAGTGTGCCACGCGGGAGGCGCTGGTGGTGTTGTTGAGGGTGAGGTTGGTGGCCGCCCTGTTGTTGCCCGCTGCTAGGGGCGCGAGACCTGTGTGGAGAGGGGGGAGGGGAGAGGGGAAAGGGGAGAGAAGGGGGAGAGAAGTGAGAGGTGTTATAGTCACAGTAGGCTCCAATGTGCCTAAAACGAAAGATAGAGTGCACAGTCGGATTTCTGCACAGCGGCTTTAAACTTTCATATAGATCTGGTCACAGCTCAAAATGACCTGATTCAGATTGGGTCTGGAGCGTCTTAAAGTCGCCTACACTATCAGTTTAGATCGCACGATTTCATTAAGAATTGACGACACAGCGTCGGTTTGAACGAACGGCACTATGGCAGCCACTATAGTCTTAGAACACAAATTAGGAATGTTATAGTCACAATAGGCTTGAATGTGCCTAAAACGAAAGATAGAGAGCACAGACGGATTTCTGCACAGCGGCTTCAAACGTTGATAGCGTTCTGCTCACAGCTGCAAATGACTTGATTCAAATTGGATCTGGAGCGTCTTTACGTCGTCTACAATTAGCAATTTAGATTGCACGATTTGATAAAGAATTGACGACACAGCGTCGGTTTGAACGAACGGTACTATGGCAGCCACTATAGTCTTAGAACACAAGATAGGAAGAGTTACGAGTTGGGAATGACTCCCAGCTCCTACAAACCCCAAGAGCCGAGGTACAGTGATGTGGAACAGTGCCACACTGTCCCCAACCACGAAGGGTCTCGAAACTACCCTTCACTAGGGCCTACACCAAGTGAAATGTTACACTACACAAAGTAATGTAACTATCTTCAATATCTTGAGGTGTACCCTTTTGGCAAGCTTCGAAATCACTTGAGGCTTGACACCAAGGCTCGGGCTCTTCATCACAAACTCATCCTTGAGTTCTTGATGGGTCTGCTGCACACACCTGCGACACGCCGAACGTTCGACACAGGACAAAATAGAAACCGCGCACGACAAAATAGAAACCGCGCGCGAGACACAAACGACCGCGTAACACGCGTCTAGCGATAACTCGCTATTGACTCGACACACACACTCGACATCATGACTCAACATTCACACACAATTATAAGCATGAAATATATATTATCCCATGCCCTCATACCATTCCATACACACACACATTCACGCACACGGACAACAAGCCGAGTGCAAACCGTAGGGTTGCACCAACAAACTCCCCCTCGGATTGTTGGCCTTAGGATATGTTGCTCTCTCAGTTCAGAGCCATCCCAGCCAGCTTGCAACACTTCCAATGCTGCTGCTCCACCAGCCTCTTGGTCATCATGTCAGCCGGCTGCCCCGTGGTCTTCACGTAGCGCAACTCAACTTCACCCGCGGTTACCATGCTCCTCGTCCAATGCCACTTCACCCTCATGTGCTTCGTGAGTCCATGCAACACAGGGTTCTTAGCAAGAGCAATGGCACCCTGGCTGTCACAGTACAGTGGGGTAGGTCCTTGCTGCTCCTCCCCCAATTCAGCCAACAAACGCCGCTGCCACACAATCTCCCGTACGGCACGGAAGAGTGCCATGTACTCGGACTCCACCGAGCTCAAAGCTTGGTCAACCTGCTTCTTGCTCTCCCAAGCAGTTGGGCCTCCACCAACACAGCATATGAAGCCTCCCACACTTGTCATGTCCTCTGGTTCTGATGCATATGAAGCATCCGAGTAGGCGGTGAGGAACAAACGCCCGGGTTCAACACCATCCGCGCCCTTTTGGCGCCTTTGTGCCGCCGCCGAGTATTGCAGCCCAACGGTCGGTGTTTGGCCAAGATACTTGGCCACCCTCATTCCAGCTGCTACCTGCTCCTCATTAGGGCATTGCACAACCCTAGCCAGCTGCCCGGTAGCAAACGCGACGTCCGGTCGGGTGTTTACCGCCGCATACATGAGGCTGCCCACCAACGAGTGAAATCGGCGCCTCTCCTCTTCACCAACGCTCTCGTCCTCTGGTCCCTTCACACACTTGAACCCAGAGGGAAAGGGTGTAGCCACATGGCCTTCACTCTGCCCAAAGTTGGCAGCCAATGCCTCCAGGTACTTTCGTTGATGCACCCGCATGCACCGCTTCTCCACATCTCGTTCGATGTGGAGCCCAAGGTAGAAGCTCACGTCACCAAGGGCCTTGCACTTGAACTTGTCTTGAAGCTTCAGCATCACCTCCTTCACAAGGTCAGAAGAGGGTGAGAAAATGAGGATGTCATCCACATAAACCACCATGAAACTCCTCTGCTCCCCCTCGCCAAGCATGAACAAGGAGTGATCGGCCGTTGAGGGAGTGAAGCCGATCCCCTCCAACACTTCGCGCAGCTTCATGTACCATTGCCTAGGGGCCTGCTTCAGCCCATAGAGGGCCTTCTTCAGCTTCCACACTCTGCCACTACCATCATCAAACCCCTCTGGCTGCGCCATAAAAATCTCCTCCTCAAGGATGCCGTTAAGGAATGCCGTTACGATGTCCATTTGCTTTACTACCCATCCTTTGATGGCGGCTCCCGCGAATAGGGTTCGCAGCGTCGTCGGCTTCACCACAGGGGCAAACAGCTCCTTGAAGTCCACCTTCTCCTTCTGCTGGTACCCCTTGGCTACAAGCCTAGACTTGTAGCGCTCGATCTTGCCGTCGGCATCCGACTTGATTTTGAAGAGCCACTTGGACGTTATCGCCGTACGCCCCTCCGGTAGCTCCACCAATTCAAACGTGTCATTCTCCTCGATGCTCTTCAGCTCACTCTCCATGGCCTTCTTCCACTCCTCAGCATCACTACTCTCCAAAGCCTCCTTGAGAGTTGCTGGTTCTCCCGGCATCTCCACCGGAGAGAAGAACGCGAAGGCACACTCCTCGTAGTCACTCTCCTCGTCGTCTCCGACCATCATTGCCGCTCCGGCCAGGGCTGTCTTGCCCTGCTTTCCCGGCGCATCATAGGTCAGCCTATTAGGGGGTTGAACTCTCCTCTTCCCCCTTCCTTCCTCCTCAGCTGCAGGGACTTGAAGGCCTTGGCGTTGCTGCGGTGTGGCTCGAATCCGTGGAGCACTCGTAGTACGGGAAGGGAGTCACGGTGCACGCTCGCTCACTTGCTGCACCTCCTCCTCTTCTTCCTCTGCATCATTGGCCTCCTCTCCCCCATTCACAAGGGAGGATTGCCTTGTGGTTGTGCTGCCGCTGCTCAGCTCCAAAGGCAGCTCCACATGCTCCAAACCGGAACTCTTCACCTCCCCAAACCGCACGCCTATCTTCGCCTCATTCTCCGCCTTCCAATCCTTGTACATGAAGTTCTCCATGAACTTGCAGTCCCTGCTCACCAAGAACTTCTTGGTGAATGGGTCCCAAAGAAGCCATCCCTTGCTGTTTTGAGCCATGCCCAAGTGCACGGCCCACACCGCCTTGGCACCAAGCTTGTTGTGCCGAAGATGCTTAGGCACGAGCGCCATGCACATGCACCCGAACACCCGAAGCATATCCACCTTTGGCTTCCTTCCTAGCCACTCCACATAGGGCACCCATTTGTCTGCTCCCACATGAGTCAAGGCTCTGTTCTTGGCCACACACGCGCTCCGCACCGCATCAGGCCAGAAATAGTCGGGTAGCCCGGCTTCAATGAGCAACCCGCGTGCCGCCTCCGTGATTGTGCGGTTCGCTCGCTCGGCGATGCCGTTCATTGCAGGGGAGTATGGCATGGTGAGGGAGTGCCGAATACCATTCTTCTTCAGCCACAACCCAAACTCCTTGCTCAGGAACTCTCCCCCTCGATCGGTGCGGATTGACTTGACTAGACGGTCTTGTTGCCGCTCCACCATCGGGAACCAATCCGTCTTCAACGTTTCAGCCACGTCGCTCTTCTTGGCCAGCACGTACACCCAAGTCATGCGGGTGTAGACGTCGACAATGGTGAGAAAATACTCAGCTCCAGCAGCTCCAAGCTTCAGGGGGCCCACCACGTCCATCACCACCTCATCAAGCGGTGCCTTTGCCGTTGCCTCCGAACTAGGGAACGGAAACCGGGTGAACTTGGCTTGAATGCACGTCGGGCAGCCAAGCACCTCATCGGGCTCCCCCTTCACACGTATGCCAGCAACCATCTCATTCTTCACTAGCTGCTGCAAGATGGGCAGGGCCGCATGCCCCATGCGCCGATGCAAGGTGAGCCAATCACACTCCCCCGTAGCCGAAGTTGGATTGGAGAATGCCGCGCTCGCAATAGCGCCCCACATACTCTCTCCGTAGTCCTCCTCCGCTGCTGCCTCTGGGTTCTCCTCACCCTTTTGCTGCTCCTTGGTTGCTGCACCACTCTCCTTAGGTTCACTGAACTTGCTGGTCCCTCCAGGTTTGCTCTTCTTGAGCTCATTCTCCTTAGCGCGACCGTTCGCGCCATCGTCGCTACCGACCGCTCCATCCTTGGTGCTGATGCTTGCTGCCACTTGCCTCTCCTTAGGCATAGGGACCACTGGGATCTGCCACATCTCGTTGTAGACATCCCTGTCCTCATGAAGGTCCCAAGGAATTCGATCGCCAAGCCTTGCGGTGTAGGTCTTGGCTCCCTTCGAGTTCGTGTCCATGCCGGCCTTTGCCAACCGCCGTACGGAAATCAGGTTTGCAGCAAGGCTGGGCACCATCTTCCCATCAGCACCCTTGAACATGGCCTTGCCCATGCCTTTCACCTCTGCTCGCTGCCCCAAAGCCGATGTGACATGCTTCACCGGTGACGGCTCGAGTTCGGTGAGCAAGTCCGGGCGAGGTGTCATGCTATAGGTAGCGCCACTATCAATCACCCAATAGTCCAGGGGATATAGGGTCACCTTCCCCACAGCTGCTGGCTCCTCAAAGCCTTCATCCTTCTCTGGACCAGCCGGTACTTGCGTCGACACGAAGAAGAATAGACCCGGGTATCGATCGTCGCTCGGGTCCTTGTCGTTGTCTCCGCTCTTCATGTTTGCAGCTCCGCCACCGCGACCGCCACGGCCTCCACGGCCTCGTCCTCTCCCTCCTCCTGCTCCTCTACCCTCTTGGCCTTGAGCAGGGGTC